ATGTTGCTAACCTTTTTTGATATCAGAGGGATTGTTCACTATGAATTTGTACTGACTGGACAGTTAACCAGGTTTACTATTTGAAACGCTGAGTGAAAAAGTTAGACAAAAATGATCTGAACTTTTTGCCAATAACGCATGGCTCTTGCAACACAGCAATGCACCAACTCACACGGCACTGTTTATGAGGGAGTTTTTGGCCAATAAACAGAGTTGTATTGGAACACCTCCCTATTCATCTTATTTGGCCCCCAATGACTTTTTTCTTTAACTGAAGATAAAGGAAATATTGAAAGGAAGATATTTTGATGACATTCAGGACATCAAAGGCAGTACAACCACAGCTCTGATGGCCATTCCAGAAAAAGAGTTACAAAATTGCTTTGAAGGGTGGACTAGGCACTGGCATCAGTGCACAGCTTTCCAGGAGGAGTACCTCAAAGGTAACTGTAGTGCTATTCAGCAGTGAGGTATATATTGCTTTTTCTAGGACAAGTTCGCGGAATTAATTATCATTCCTCATATAAGCAACTTACGTAAAAATCCTATTTTGTGACCAGAAGGGTTTTTCACAGCAACTTTATTAACTACCTTTAATCTTCTACTCTACCCTCAATCTATATATAATCTTTTTCTCACCAAATTAGACACTGCAGTTTGATTTTTTTTAAGAGACTTGAGACTCCTTCCCAGAACACAGCATCTTGAAGCACATTTCGGTCAAAATGAATGTAGTTTCACCAGGTGTGTGAAGTGATGCTCTCACTCTAGTCACAGATGACTTATGGATGGTTAGCACCGCCATCCATGCTGGCTGGACTTTGATTTGTATAAGCCCGTGAATTGTCTCCGTGGAGAAAATGTACAGAGGTAGCATTTCACTTTTATGTTTTTCATCAAACAGCTTCCTACCGACAGAGGGAAAGGTATGAACGTTGTTAGGGAAAACATTCTCTATTACCAGGAGGTTGTTTCTTCAGAAGTCAGAGGCTTGTGTGCACTGCGAAGGGAATACTTAATTAAGCCTGTGCTGGAGAACTCCTTCCAGATAAGCAGAGTCTTTACAAAGCCACCTTGGCCGCACACAAACAAAATAGTCTACAAGTAGCTGCTTATAAGTTACTTTGTCATAGAATTAAAGGATGTTTGATTCTAAAATGTATGCCTCTGTGCACCAACATGAAATGTGTGGTGTCTGTGACATCCTCTACCAAAGTAAGGGATGTAAGATCACACCCTCGGCACTGGTCTTAGGTGGTTTGGCCCAAAATCTCACTTGAGCCTTTCTCAGTGCCTGAATTCCTCCTGCCCAAAATTTAGTCCTTTGAATTAAGGCTTTCTGTTCAAACTTTATGAGCCAAACCCTGATTGGGTCACATTATTCATGATAATCCTTTTACGAGATATTTATCAATTATCTTGATGTCTCAAGAGCAACCTGGGCAGTGCCT